GGGGGGGGGGGGGGGCTGCATAAACAGCATATGTCTTGTTGTATGTAAGTATCTTCTTCACTCTAGACGTTCAGCAATGATCCTAAAATACCGGAGGAGAATGAAGATATGAAAGATGATAGCAAAAAGTGGATAGTGGTCTTTCTTGTTATTGGAGTAGAAAGTGGGATTGGTATATTCTTACAGGTATGGGTTATAATGTCAGATTCCTGCAACGGAAAATTTAGTTCGGTTCTTTCCTCGGTATTATTCACCAAATTAGTTGTGGAAATTATAATGCGCATCTGGGATATTTTGAATCTCAACTATTACGAACAGGAATATAACAAACAAAGGCACGCAGAATTTCTTTATTGAGAGCACCTGATAATTTGGATGAGCATCTGGTACTTTGGCTATAGTACTTTGGAACAACAATGCACTAATAGAAAGATTCATTGTATATGGAAATGGTCTGTATGAAAATGTCTGAAATCTTATTGTCATGTCTCATTCAAGACAACAATCAAATGTTTCTTTTTAGAACTGGTACTTGGCGAAGGCTGGGGAAGCATTAACGAAAAGACTAAGGAAACAAACATTTTTAGCTTTTCTCCGTCAGGTAAGCGTATTGTGAAAATTCTTGTACACTTTTACAAAGATCATTTGCGCTTAAAATCACTATATATTGGAGCAGGTTTCTTTGATTCAAATTGATATCAGGTATGAAGTGCATGTTCAAAGGTGTCATTTTAATTGATCACTCTGAAAAATACGTCAACGGCACAAAAAAATTCTAATACATTTTAGTATGCGAGCCATACACTACTAAAACTTTATTTGTCTCTTAAAAGTACATAGTACCTTCCTTTACAAACAACTCTTAGTCATTAATGAAATCACATTAAGAAGGTCACAAGACTTTAACTGTTAGCATCATGGTTATTAGCCGTGAAAACGATGTAAACAAGGTAGCAGTTTGAACAACTACGGCGTACTAGAACTCTCAAGGGAATACATTACATTGTCGACAGTGGCGGAAACTTTGCGCGAAATATTGGGGGGGGGGGCGCGAGCGTCGAAGGTAGGAGATTTCTAGTGGGGTATTAGGGGAATGCTCCACCTGATAATTTTAAAATTTGGATTCATGAAATGGCATTTGCTGCATTCTGAGTGCAACATCAAAATTATAGTAATTTAACAGTGCATTTGTTATAAATCATGTGCGAAGTTTATAAAAAAACGACATTTCAGAGAAAATATTGTAGATGATTAAATACATTTGTGAATGGAATTGCAAGGTGGTTTAACTCTTTCTCGACAAGTCCCATATCTTCGGTTTAGTGCATGCTATGCAGATAATAATACCACCATTCCATTCAGTGAAACAATATCAACTAATTCCTCACTATAGATTTAGTCATTGCCAACATTGTATCAATTTATGCCCTTTGAGAGTTAAGCGAGATTGTATATTATCAAATTACGCAATTGTCTGAACCTAATAATTTAGACTAGCCATACCTTTCGCCGAACATAACTTCGGCCCCTTCGAACGTATCTTCCTGCTAATAGTCTTGTTCGAATCGCTATCAAAAACATTATTTACAGTGTCATTTTCCAGTCTGTACAGTATCTTCAAATTTGCACTTTTATCACGGTATTATCATTTCTGGTCCGACTGTGAGCTAATCCCAACAGGAAATACAATTTCAAAACGTCAAAACAATGCGACGTTTTGTATCGTATGACTCTGGAAATGCCGGAAATCGATTCTAAAGGTAAAAGTGCACCTGCATGTACGCGTGTTTTTTACGTCTCCCGGCTACGGGAGCTCTTTCCGCCACTGATTGTGGACCTCTTCTTAGAGTAAATTTCTATTATTCATAATTTTTTTCATTATTTCTATTGTTCATGATTTTGCTCATGAGTCTTTTTTAAAATAGGTCAAGTCTTTGACATTCTTTCAGTCTTTCAGAGACTAAAATTTCCAATACATTTTGTCCATTGGTCTTTTCGCTTGTTCTCGTGATGTCACGTCCTGTATTGACGTTGCCGTTGTATTTGCCATATTAGACAGTTTTAGATAACAAGACGGGGACGTCAAGAGGACGTGGATGTCGTCATTTGGCGCCAACTATCGTCAGCTTCTGGTTTGCGACGTCGTCTTGGACGATTTCACGACGCGAAAATACAATTTTCACGTCCTCTCTAGAACGTCACAGATTTTTGCTTCTTTTGAAAAAAATATGAGACTATGCATAATAAAAATCATCCTATTTTGTTCCCCATGCATTGTTTAATGATACTATCTAAAGTTTTTCCATTGCCAAGGTTGTTTTTCTTGTATTTCGCTAAATTTTGGACGAGCTGATTTTCGACAAATACTTTCGGTCGCCATAAACAAATCAACAAAACTGCAAGCATTGTTAATAACCACTTCAATACCGCTAGTAATCTTCACCAAAACAAATATTTTAGAACAAACTAAACTGAAGTTATATTAACAACTGTTTAAAATCAGGAAAACGTGGGGAAATAGAAAAATAAAAGCACTTAAAAGCAGTAAAAACTCAATCAATTTTAGTTGCTATGTCACAACAGTGCAAAAAGTAGGACAAGCAAAAAAACGCTTTCCAGCGTGAAAAACTATCGTAAACAGTATTAAATTTTACCAATGTGAACACTGATGCTATATTTATACTGAACAGTTGACAAACTTGATTGAATAGGCTACAAACTAAAGCATTTAGCTCGTAAACAATACCTGCAGCTATTGTATTTATTCCAAATGATGCAACAAAGTTCACTTTTCAAAATACCGAAATATAGGTTTTTTTCTAAAAAAAACTTATTGAATGTTCATACTAATTCATCAGGAAATACTTAGCCAGTATTATATAGCCTTTTCTTGCACATATCTTGCCAACTGATTGTAAACAATACAGGAATGAACAGGTAACAAGAAAACAAAAATTTGCTTCGAGAAAGACAAACAAACCGTCCCAGATTAAAACCCGGAAGTGAACGCGAGATGCATACGTCATTTTCACGTCCTCTTGACGTCCGCGTCTTGTTATCTAAAACTGTCTACTCACTAATGTAACATGCATCGTCTGTTAATGTTAATGTTAGTGTCGTCATTCCTGTCCATCGATGCTCCAGTTCATAATATTTTCAATTTCTTGTTTTTATTTATCTAATAGGAAATCTCCTACTATGATCTTCCCAATCACGGAACTGGAGCGATTTGCACCAGACTAGCGACGGAAGTTTCCGCAGTGCAAGGTGTAAGTAAAACAACGTAGTTCAAAGACCAATATTTTCTTGAAACTATCGTAGTGATGATATTTTGGTATTTCTTCATATTGACTAATTCTTGGTACTGTCATATTCTTAAATAATTTATTCCATGCGTACTTCTGGGAACAGTTGTACGAAGGCCGGATACCACTATCCACTGGATGGCGGTTTTTTTCAGGCTTCCTAAAACAACACGTTGATTGGTATAACCATTACTAAACGTCATCATTAATATAAATTAAAACTTGTTTTTTTATCAAGTCCATGCACCTCCTCATTTTATAGGTTTTTAAGTAGTTTAGCAACAACTGTTGAAAGAATCATTATCCTGTCCTTTTACCTCGCCTTTTGGTTTTATTACTATAGTTTGTACGAATCGCCCTTAACTACGTGCATGATAAATATTTAAATGGAACTTATTTTATTTATTTATTTTATTTTACAAGATTCGCCGCACCAAACAAATATTAAACTTGTTCAAATATTCAAATATCTACGAGTGCATTGGCTGGGACTGACCACAGAGATAAACTCCAATAACGGGGTCCCGACAAAAAAGACAAATTACTATACATGCACAAAAACATTAATTGGCTTTCGCCAAACTGTCAACAACATGATCTGAAAGATAAATTTTGAATAGAACGAGTAGAGTGGCGTTTGACGCACACCGATTTAAAGGTTCTAGTTTTGTCTGGGTTGTAGACGTGTTCGAGAAGGTAAAAGTAGTATCTAAATAGTAAACTTTTAAAGGAAGCTGTAGATCTTGTAGTGACTCTGAGGATATCGGGTAGAATGTTCCAAACGCTGGGTGCTCTTACGTAAAAACTGTTTAAAAAAAAACAAAAAAAAACAAAACAAAAAAAAACAACTTAATATTAAAAATAAAAGTAGCAAACTGTTATTAGAAAATGACTACATGTGATGTTAGCGCGCATGGCATGTCTGCTATTTAAGTAAAAAAAATTAATTTGATATATTCGTCAACTATATATTGTCTCTCCAGGCGACTGGACCACAGCTTGGATTACTTATTGCTGGAATTGTGACAGTAATTGGTGGACTTTTGGTTTCCTTGACTGCCTCTTGGCAACTAGCATTGCTCATGATGGCTTTCATTCCTTTGCTGGTCGGATGTGGGATGTTTATGAATGCATTCTTTGGTGCTACAAAGGATTCCGCTACAAACAGAGGTGGAACGGTAAGATGTAAAACATTTTCCCCCGAACGATGGCTCATCTAACTACTATGTTTAATACCTCTATCCATGCACCCATGCTACCTGACACGGGGGTATTTTAGGTTTGGGACGTGTGTGGGAGCTCCCCCCAAAATTTCAGGGTTTTTATTTGGTGGTGGTGGTGGTGGTGGTGGTGGTGGTGGTGGTGGTGAATTCCCCGTCCCATAGTCACAAACCCAGACATCATTTCCTATGCTCACCTATTTCAAAGTGAGGGGATAGAAATGATGTCTGGGTTCACCAACTACACCTCCAAGTGAAATCTTACCCATTTTGATACTCAAGGTTATATGCCTTACTGCTTACCAGTTTAATATTAATAATGATATTCATATTCCATTTTTGGGGAAAATGCTCCTCCCCCCAGAATTTAGCTATTTTCAAATTGGGGGGGGGCAATTCGGGATTTTTTTTTGGGGGGGGGGATCAACACTAATCCCCCTGTGACACTGAATTGTACATCACGTAGGATACAAAATGGAGTAGGTATGCAAGTCGCAAATTAAAACAAGGTTTTTCTTGGTCATGGCAGGTTTACTTGTTCAGTTTGTGTGTACGGCAGGAATTGACATTTTTTTCTTGATAAGGAGCCTCGCAGAAAAATATATCTTGGCATGCCAACTTTTGAACGACAAAACTTGTCTGTTTGTAGGGTCACACGGGAAATTTGACTCAGTACATCAGGATCCTCAGGATAAACAATTCACGTTCTATAACATTCTCGGCATTATAACGAGCATTTCATATAAGATTTCGACCAGAATTGAATACGCACTGTTTATTGCCCGTACGTGATTTTTAATCCAAATTTTCCGTTGTGTTTGCACACTATGAAGCTTGACGTTTTCGGGGTTTTGATAGAAGATGGTAAACAACCACTTCCGGAGAGACGTCTCGGCCATATCCCCATGCCCTTTCTGGCGTTAAACATGTAAAGTAATTCACTATATATTGGGAAATGATAGCAATCATATCTTTTTTTAGACAGCAGATGAGACATTTAGCAATATCCAAACAGTCGTATCATTAGGGAGAGAAGAAGAGTTCTACGAGAGATATAGAGAAGAAATGATTGTTCCATATAAGTATATATCCTAGTCCAATTAATATGTACTTATTACAAAGCTTTTAACTTTCCTGGTTAATTTAACGAATGAGATATACGCCTCTCATTTCAACCAATCCCACCATTTAACTAAACTTCAAAGCTAAATGTTTACAACGGTATTATGAAGATCCTTTACAATTTCTCCCTAAGATGTTTAGTTTTCAAAATATTTCACCTCACGATATTTCGAATTATTATTTATTTTAAAAAATTGATGTTTCTCATTGTCAAAAAACTTTAAATCTAAAGAAGCCGTGCATATCAATGAAAAAAAGAAGAAAGGAAAGAGTTTCTGCAAAATGGCAGAAAAACGGATGATTATTTCGACTAATTGAATTTATCCACCGTGGGATATTATAGTATACCACGCTCACGCGTGACGCGTGGACACCACGCTTTGAAACAATATGGCGTTTGCGAGCTGTTGTTGTTGACTTTTTGTTTGTAATTTCGTACGGAAGATATATTGACTTAAGTTAATCAAAGATTTTCAAGATGTATGTTACCTTCAACGATCCAAAGGGTACATACTCAAATATTTTAAAGAGAAAACGTCAAAAACTCAGGTACACATAAGAAATTAAAAATTATATTCGCTTCAAGTTTTAAAGTTTCAAAGTTTTAAATTCTGAACTTGGTGGGTTCTTTAACTTTCGGTATAATATATCATTTATCGACCCTCCGCTCGTGGGATTCGGCGATATTTCCCTCTGAGTGATGATATTCGGGAAATAGTACGCCGAATCCCCCTCGCTCCGGTTCTATAAATGATAAAAATATCTAAAATACTAAATTCGTTTTCACGTGTTGCTTCGGTTGATAATACAAACTTCGGGCTTGATAATTACGATTACGATCAACATTTCTAGAGCGTAAATTTACTTCGGGGCATGATCAAATGCGATTTACGTCGAGTATTACGCAATACTTATTATTATGTAATTACAGTACGTACTTACTGAGCCTACAATCTTTGCCCAAAACCAAGGGACAGGTGCTGTAATGATGTCTGGTTGCGAGACGCCAACATTGAAACGGGTAGGGGGAGGTGGAAAAGTATATCACGAAATGGTATGTTAGCCTACAACCAAATGCATGTAAAAACTAGACTGTCCCAATCTATATATTGTCAAAGATTGTAGACTATTTTATCTCTCCATAATTTTGATATTACCTTCTTAACTGTGTTTATCCTAACCCAACCCGTTAATAACCCAAACGGAGCACCTGGAGAAAACCCTTTCGGCAGAACTGACTCTTTTGAGAGAGCTGAAAGTCACTTGCTCTGCCGACTATGCTACTGCATATAATGTTCAAGCCCACTCTATAATCAAATATTTCATCTCTTTAACCTCTTCGGTTCTTGGTTCGATATACATGACGTCGCAACTGGGGTAAAGAGAAATTTTTATTCTTTTAACCAAATATATATATTTATAAGCTTTCTATCCCCAACGGCTCACAACATATGAATAAAAATGTCGCTTGAAATTTAGTTACCCGCATAGTGGCAGATTAAAAAATGTTTCCAATCAATATCTCCAAAACCAACAAGATACAGCAGAAGAGAATTGTAACTGGTCTTCAAAACTTTAAATATAATTTCAAGATGTATTGCCATTTACCTTTAAACTTGTGGGGGGAAAAAAGGATGATTAATATATACGCATGCACGATGCGTAATTGGTAGTGGCTATTACATGCACGTTTAACCTGCGATTTCACTTTCGCCTAAAGGCCGAGACACACCGCGGGCGCGATTTGACAACGCCGCGCGATATTTCAGGTTTTGAAAATTAATAAAACAGCAATTGAAAGGAAATTTTAAAAATATGTAGACTAAATAACTGAAAATGTTATAGCGCTTCTAAATACTTGGTCACTGAAAAACGAAAAATCGCGCCGCTTTGTCGAATCGCGTCCACTGTGTATCGGTCTTAATTCGCATGTTCGAAGGTTGCAACTTCTCAACCATATAGTAGTGCATTTTTGCTCACTTTCTTTAATCAGTATACCATTTATGACTCACTTTTTTTATACAGACTTGCAAAGAAGACGAGCCATTTTGCAGGACTGGCCAACGGTTTTTTCTTCGGAATCATGAATCTGAGTTATGGAGCTGGATTTCGATATGGAGGATACCTGGTAGAGGAAGATGACGTCAATATTGAAGAAATGATGACGTAAGAATTTTATCATATTACTGTCCAGTTACTTATCGTGAAAGAAGGGAATTCTGATCAATATATTTAGTGCCAGGATCTACACTAGTTCCTTAGACTTGGATTTATATAATTTAGAAAAATAAACGATTAATCTAAAGTGCTTCTTTGGCATATTATTATACTCCACACTCTTATAAATTATGATAAATCAGAAAGCATACTAAGGTTTATGTGGAAAATCCGAATTCTATGAAGAAACCTCAGGAATTATGGCTTAGTTCCCACACTGAAAAGTTTTATTTTGCATGGGCGGAAAATATTTTTTCCTTGGGGACAAACACGCAGAAATGTCAAATATTTTCACAGAACATTTATGGCAGACCATGCATGCCATCCTGCGCTTAGAAAATTTTTTTGTCAAAGGGGAAGATGAGGAATCTGCTTGGTTCATTTTTTAGTTTGAAGGCATTTTAATTTAGGAATTGATAGTTGTGTCGTCTGTAATAGTAGCTATTACTGCAGGTATAAGCATTATTTTAGAGTAAAAAACAAATTCCGAAAAGACAAGACATCTCGAGAATTCAATATACGATTCAAAACAAGACGCAGGTTGAGACTGTAAATTTTCGACTTTATTTCAAAGACATCTTCAGACAGAATGAAGTCGAAAATTTGCAGCCTCAACCACAATCCAATCTTGAATTACTTTCTCCCCCTTATAGTGCGATAATCACTGTATTAATATGCTGTGTTATGCTTGGTCAAGTCGCATCAATGACACCAGATTATGCGAAAGCAAAACAAGCAGCTGAACGAGTGTTTTATCTCTTGGATAAGGTTCCTCATATTGATGTGTATTCGAAAGAGGGAATTAAACCGGTAAGAAAAGTTGCTATATTAATATTTGAACAACGTATCCCACGGATTCGAGTATTTAGAAAATTTATCACTGCACAAAGAGTCGCCTTTGCATAGTCCTTCGTCTTTGTTTAATTAGCATCAAAAAGAAAGGAATTTTCGACGAAGTAATTTGCGAGTTAGTGAGAGTGATACGAAGGATGTTTCCAATTTGCAGAGGACGAAACTTTTACCCACCCCAAATTGGGTCAGTAAGTTGATTAGTTCAACCAATTAGCGGGAACCTGGTAAGAAACATGTCAATCAAAGAGTCGCACTTAATTACTTCTATATATAGTAAATTTTTTATCTATGCAAGAAGAACAAAATCTGTCGCAGCTAGAAGAGCATGTTAAAATTTAGTTAATTTGCAAAGTTTGGCCGCGAAATGTTGTAAAATGGGGAAATTATTTTAGCCCTACCAAAATTTGCAATCTGCATTATTATAATTGTAATTTGTATTACTCGCGGGAAAATGCATCACATTTGGGCTAGTATTCCAAAGGTTGTAGGTCCGATTCCCACCGTGGCCAGGCATATTTTTCAAGCTTGCCCGGTGTGGATATACACTCAGAGTAACATCACAAGCCTCATATTCACCTGAGTACTGTACATTACATCAACACAGAAAAAAAGACTGATACAAAATTTGCAAATTTCGTAGGGCAAACGTTTTAGTTTTACTAATTTTAACATGCTTTTTCTGATTCTTTTCTTTTTGCCTAGATCAGAATTTAGTCTATAGATGGAATCGTCCATTAACACTAGAAATAGAACGAATGCCATTACTTCACGCTTGCATGCTCAGTACAATTTTATAGCCATATTTTCAAGTCGATGTTCGGCAATTAAAGTAATCAAATAGTTTCAAAATTACTATTCATCTTAAAAATATATGGTGAAGTATTAAATCTAGTTTTATGCTCGTTTTTTAAATGTAGAAAACGTGTGGTGGTGAAATTAAGCTCACCAGTGCCAGATTCAGGTACCCCACACGACGAGATTTCAAAGTTCTACGAAGTCTCGACTTGACAGTTAAACCTGGTCAGACGATTGCCTTGGTTGGAACTAGTGGGTGTGGCAAGAGCACTGCAGTCTCGTTGGTGGAGAGATTTTATGATACTAATTCTGGTCATGTGGTAAGTACTCTCGATTTCATAAAGGCCCTTCGCGTTGCAAGCCGTGTTCATTTACGACCCCCCCCCCCCAGAATAGAAATCGTTTTGAAGGGGCCGTTCACTCTGGTGACTTAATAGATAGTTACGAAATCGATTCAGAAACGTGTCAGCGTGGACAACTGAAAAACGAGTTGACACCGATTGAAGGTCGATCTAAACTGATCACATGCAGAGGTGCTCTCGGTTCTCGTTTTACAATCGAGAATTTGTTGCTTAGCAGCCTCGTGTTTTTGCCATCGTTAGTTGATTCGATTAATTCATTCTCGTTTTTGTGCAAATGTAGACCCCACACAAGGAGTCCTAGGAACCAGTTTCAGATATACCGTAAACCTCCGACTATAAGCCCCCGCGAATGTAAGCCCCCCGGAATATAAGCCCACCACATATACTAATGCTCAATTCATTCCAAATATAAGCCCCCCCCCGAACATAGAGTAAGCCCACCCAAATATAAGCCCCCCAAATATAAGTCCCCCGAATATAAGCCCAGTAGCCCACTACGTTATTCAACATTTTCATTGTCTTTTAATATAGCAGAGAATGATATTTAAAAACATTGTCATTGTCTTTATAGCCGACTATATGTTACGTTAATCAATGCACGTTATTAATGGATGTTTATTTTCCTGTTTATGACTGACTTGTTGGTGTCTGATTTGTTTATTACTAACACAAAAGATCATCCATGTATTAGCCCCCGTATATAACCCACCCACCCCCTTATATAAGCCCATCAAAAATCGCTTACGAAAGTATATAAGACCAAGGCTTATAGTCAGAGGTTTACGGTATAAGATCCCCTTGGCAAATTAGATAAAAATTGTCTGGCATTAGCCAGAATAAAACAATAAAATAAGGTATATTTGGGAACATTGCAGCTTAGGTAATGGTTAAAAATCAAATATAAAATTCGAGTTGACAAAAATATTCATGAAACACCAGCTCAGGTCCAGCTGTGTAGTGTATACTACGGTTTGCCATTGAAATTTAATGAATAAAGTATTGTTGGTCTGTGTAGTTGTGTAATTTCAATAGAATGCACAAAATCTTGCATTCCTATATGTATATGATATAGTTGAGGTTGGGCATTTAACAGCCATTTCCCGATTTTCCACCTCAGGTTCTAAAATACTTGTCTTTATAATTGAAATGAAAGCAGTAAACGCAAGATAAATCAGACAAAACTACAGTACTTGTAAATCAAAACACGCGCAAGTTTTCTTAATTGAGACTGCAATGGCAATGAGAATGGCCTCAGCATAATGGCGGTCGTATTATAAATACGACAATCGCAGACAACATTGAATCATTATAATTCTCGCATTATTATAACAACTCACCTTATTCCTTTCGACGTTTATCACATCTTTGAAGTTACAGGCGAACTAATTCTAAAGCATTGACGCTGTGGACCACACGTTTTGAATTGCATTGGCGGCCAGACCTTTGTCATTCAAATACAAACAGCAACCTTGCTCGCTTCTTCCTCACACTGTTTTAAAGCCATCTTTATGCTTCAAATATGCATATACTAAAGCCATTTTAATCAGTTTGAATCGCTTCCATCGCACTGACACTTAGAAGCAATCCTAATAGAACCCTCGCACCACAATAGCAGATATATTCCCATACAAACGACCACAAACTATAATGCCAGTATTGATGTGAGAAGAAGGTATTAGATTTCACGGCGGCGCTATCCTCATTGGTTGAAAGCTTGATCATGCGGCGCGCGAATATTCAAATATTTCGGCCTCATTGTGTGTTATCTTCATATTGTGTTACTGCTGCTGCAAATTATAGCGTGTTATAATATTTGAAATGCGAAATTTTGAGGTCAAATTTTGCCAGTTTCCAATCTGTATGATGAAATGCATAAACATACATGACACATGCATGTGACATGGGAACTATTTCTGTTAATTTTTTGTTATGTCCAGTTATTAACTTCAAATGTTTCATTTGTGAAATGGTTTATAATTTGCCAGTAAATTAATATGCGGCTGTTTCATGCTACCAGTAAATAATATTCGGATAAATATTTGCCAATTAATTAATTTGGCGAAATACCTGTAATCGGCCAGCCCTAGCTGGTGACAGTAGACCAGGCTCAAAACGTGTGTTTATAGACCGTGTTATATACTGTAAAAGTGTTTTAGTTTACGAATATATGTTATTCTAACTGCACAAACAGTTTTAACACCACCAAAAAGGTGCTATTTTAACACCCGTGCTCTGTGCTAATTTAACACCACCAAAAAGGTGCTATTTTAACACTCGTGCTGCGTGCTAATTTAACACCACCAAAAACGTTTTATTTTAACACCCATGTTCTCACTCCACAAACAGTGCTAATTTAACACTGGGGAATACAAGTTGTTAACACCACTTATGGTGTTATTTTAACACCAAGAATTTAGCACCAGAAACCGGTGTTATTTTAACACCACCTGTCCTTAAGTGGGTGTTATTTTAACACCTCTAAAGTGGTGTTAAACAATTTGAGTGTTAAATTAACACTTTGCAAAATATTTTTATTTATGTCGTGTTAAATTAGCACCGAAAAGGGTGCTAAAATAACACCTTTGTTTAACACCACCAGTTGGTGTTAATCTAACACCACCCGAGGTGCTATTTTAACACCCTGAAATTAACAGTGTAATACTGAACAAGTGTTTCGTGATAAATAGCAAGTATGCTACAAGATATGCTATTTTTAGACCCGCTGATCGCGATTTGGATGTGGCCGTGAGCAGGAATATTCATGGCAGTTTGACCAGGCTGAGTTTTAGGCACGTCAGAGCTATTTACAGCTCGTGTTATTAAACCGCCGCTGAAATTTACGTTCCCTGTGCACGGCACAGACCTTTCTAGCTCCGGTTGAAATCAAACGATAGGAAGCATTTTCGACTATTTGACTTGTCTGAGATTGTGGTTACATATACAGTGGAAACAAACACGCAAAAAAACTATTGAAATAATTCATAAATTTAATTGCAACTACATGCTGCTCGCGGACTGTGTCGAGTTTCAATCTGGGCCAAACCGGGCTGGAATTTCAGCCTGGGATAAAACTTAAAATAATTGTTCCGAGTTGTCAACAGTCAAACCTTAAAGTACCTCAGATTTCATTCGATGTCGGGATTTTCCGATGTGAGAACGCGGTTTTCAATCAAAGTGGGGAAAACGTTCCAACTTTCGCCCGGAACGCGTTCGTTATTTCTGAGCAGTGCTGTATGAACATTCGATAAGTTTGCTTGGAAAAAGGCCGTAATTTCGGAAAAAAATGTAATAGCTACTGGAAAAAATGTAATAGCTACTATAATGCCATCAGTAAAAATGGTTTTGTTGCTTCTGCTGTTTGTTGGATTATTTGCATTTGCTCATTCTGGTCCATCTGCATAATCTGTTGCTATTGCTGTTGCTGTATTTGCTGTTGTTGAGATTGCTGTTGGATCCTTTGGGATTGTTTTCTTATTTCTGTCTCTTGTTGAGCTTTCTCTTAATAAGTTAAAGCCCCTTCTGTACTTCTTCTTGCTCTGGTTTTCTTGGTTGCATCATTACCATCAACTTCTTTTTTTATCCTTTTAGTTTCTCCAAATCTTTCCAGGGCTATGTTTCTCACATCTTCTGCAACAACGTTATCTGCCTTTTCTTTTCTTCCTATGTTTTCTTTCATAGTTTCCTCTTGATCAGTGAGCTCCTATATCAATGTATCTTTTTTATCCTGATCGTCCGTAGAAAATGACTCTCGTTCTATACAAATGAAGTGGTATTCCTTAGAAATTAAACTCTTCTGTATAATTTTGATTATTCTCGGTAGAAATGTACACCCTTTTCCGTTGAAATGTACGCCTCTTCCGTAGAAATATACACCTCTTCCGTAGAAATATGCATGCACCTCTTCCGTATAAATTTACATGCATCTCTTGCGTAGAAATATGCACGCACATCTTCCGTTGAAATATGACCTCTTCCGTAGAAATCAAAAACTAATGCGCGCGCAGACTTCGATGGAAATTAACGCAGACTACCTTGATAGGTGTCGACAGTTGCAAAAAAAGATGGCAGCATGTGAGCAACAGAGATGTGAACAATGTTTGGTTGATTTTATTTTCTAAATTTCAAATTTTGTCCCCATTGTGGTTATGAAACAACAGGTAAGAAAGCGAGTTTCACATTTGGTAAATTTAGTTTTAAACATTTTAGATGGACAATAATTTGGATCCTAAATTTAAACTGTCAGATTCTTAAGAATGTTTAATATATTTGTTAATGCGTCTCATCGGTGGGGCAATATGATGACTTTGCAGGGACTTTGAATGTAATTTTTACCCGAGATGTGGGGGAAATGTGGGGGCTTCGTGCCGCCATTGCCCTACACCTCGGGGGAATGAAGGGACTTCATAAGCAAGTGATTGTTTTCCATTCTTTGAACATTCAATTTATATATGACCAGACAAGTAGACCAATTTCACATGTAAATGTTAACTGTAAATAGTGTATGAAAAGCAAACTTCATTTTAAATACATGTATTGACACAAGTATTTAATGATTTTGAAATATTGTATAGTTTCAATATAAATTTATAAATATTGAAATATTTTGGTTGATGAGTGTGGCAGCGTTTCCCCATACTAATGCATGAGCCATGATGTAAATCGCGACGTCCCCCACCCCGGGCTAGGCTAGGGTGGGGATTTGACTTTGTTCTAATATTCGCAAATGCTCCACATCCTGGGGACTATCAAAGGTTCCAAATGTCAAAAAAAGTCCCCTGCACCTGGGGCCTTCGCCCGTAAATTAAGAGTTTTTAATTAAACACTGGTAAAACAGTTTACATTTCAAATAATTATATGTATGGACTGCAATGAACTACCATGGATTGCATTTGAAAAAGGTTTGGTACAAAAAGTACACGAAGCAAAGATAATACAATCTAGATGATAAAACGCCACTTGAGGTGAACAACCGATGAAAAATCGACAACTGGCTCATTACTAATCCCTACCCAATCCCCATACCCTGGGAATAAATAAATTCTAAAAGCTTCAAATCCACGACCCTCTTGGGAGTGTTTTCTGATCTAAACCCCTACCAATTCCAAATTAATACCCACCATCGCCTGGGGGGGGGGCGGGGTTACATTGACTCATGCATAATGCCGAGGAAATATTTCCAAATTTATAAACAAATTTTGACCTGCCCTTTCTAAAACTATCGATACGAATCGATGGAAAGCCGAATTTAGCAACATGGTTTTTCGAACAGCCCTTTATTGGGGAGGGTCAGGTAAGGGGGTAGAGACTGCGGAAATTTGATTATTTCGCCTAACGTTTTTGTAGTGAATAAGATTGGTCAAATTTTGTTTTGTTAATCAAATTTAGTGTTTACGCTTTTAATGTCAACCAAACATCTACTGCAGTAGATGTCAATACTGACCACATGTATACATTTTGAGGAAATTATTTGGTTTAAAATTAATGAAGAAATATAGGGGGGACTATCTTTCGGTTAATTTAAGAGTGTTTGTTCAAAATTAAATTAGTAGAACTTGTAGCATTGCTGTTTTTAATGCAAACATGTTATAAATGTAAATATTACTGGTGAGGACAGGGGGGGACTATACAAAATCATATATCCTGTGGGGTGGGGAAATAGCATGCAATTATAGATGCGAGGTGTTTATTATGGCGTCCAAAATCATTACTGAGTTTGCTAACTATAAAATTTGGAATAAAAACCAACAGACGTTTAAATATTCGTTTAGAACTGCATGTTTAAAGCGAAAAAAGGTTTAAAAAGTTTTAGCCTGCGTGCAGGCCCAAGGGAACTGATAGTGGGCCTGCAACCATCACCTCATGTTTTCGATTTTCGCCGGCCGAACCGCCGGCTAAATTCCCATTGGCTAGCTGAGGCGATCGGTAATTAATTAACCTAGCGTGCAGGCCCAAGGGAACAGTGATTTATCACAAAGGCATAGACAAAGGCTCTCGATAAGCTTAAAATTTGAAAATTGATTACTTTTCGATTACAAATGGAACAAGAACAGACTGTTTATTGTTTACTTGAAGGAAGACATGTTTTTGCCGTTATGCCAATGGGGATTGCTTGTCGTGAGGTGTTGGAATAGCAAATTACGACTGGGGTAAACTATAGTAACCTTTACTTGAGTTTCATTAATTTCAAACAGACTTCAGTTGATACGTTATGTGTTCTCACTTCCTCAAGAAAATTATCTTTTGGTTGATGTTGAGATGCAGTTGCATGTAAGGACTGTAAGCCTATTCGAAACACTTTGCGATTTACAAGGCTTCGCTGAGAGAGCGAAACAGAAGGCGGTATTAAATTGCCGTTTGAAACGAAACGATCTGGACTCGGAACGCTCTCTTCTTTTGTAGAGTTCTTTACCAAATGAAATAAATGAAATAAATTTCGTACTTTCCGCCGCCAACAAGAATTGCACACACGATCTGATAAGTGAGACAATTTATTTATAACAATGCCAATGGCGACAGCGAAGCACACATAATATAAATCCTAATGTGGTCGCACGACTTCCCTCATGATTTGAAGTTTGAGACTGGTTTTCTGTTGAAATTCGTCCTAATTTGCCTGTTCCGATTTTAGTTGAAAATGAGCACTTGCAAATTTGGCAATTACTGACTGCGTTGCTTGCTTTTTTGGAGTTAAAACGCAGCCATTTACACATTGTTTATTAGTGTTCTGAATAAGCAGAGAAAACCCCGCAACATTTTAATGCGAGTTTGTTTGTTAATATTTGGGTGCTGTCATTGGTTCTTTTTTGACAATTGACGCGCGAATGGGGCGTGTTATGAAAAGGGGCGTATTTCAAAATACCGGGCGATGGTTGCAGGCCCACTATCAGTTCCCTTGGGCCTGCACGCAGGCTAAAAAAGTTTCAGACGTTGCTCATTCGTCGTCCTTTTCAAGACCCCAGCGCGTCCCTGGCAGGGGCGGATCCAGACCGATGCCAGCGATGCGAATGCATCGGTCAAAATTGAGAAATCAATAATGTCGCCAATAGTCAAAACACTCAGTAATAAAATATCTCCTACCAACCCGCAAATCTTTGCTTAAAATTGACTCCCTTTCAGGAATATACTATTTAGGATGAAATCCAATTTAAATAGTCTCAATAACAGTCGAAATTGTCAAAATAAGTCCAATATGCGACGTTGCGATCGCAAATGTGTACTTTCTGTTATTTTGCGACACTTAAGCGTCTATATTTTGGCGACAAAATATGTTATTTTTTACTGCATCCTTTGACGTCACAGTTGAAGCAAAATGCATCACCTACGTCACGTTAGATTCGATTGGCATCACTGGCATCCATTTTGCATCAGTGAATGCATCGGTCCCGAGTCTTTTTCCGCGTGAAATCTAACGTGACATCATCAAGTCTATTGTTTTAGAGCCCTACGTCACGTTAGATTTGGCCGCTGAGCGATGCATCGCATGCAGATTGCGGCGCTCGCATCGGTGCACTGATGCAAATTGTAAAGTCAAATCTACTGTGACGTGACGAGGCATTCGATTCAAGTCATGGCGGCAAGGATATTTGGATATGCAAACACTATATGCAAATGAGACAAATAAAGCGAAGAGAAATCCCTCGAAATTGACGGACAACAAATAATTTACAGTCGAACCAATTACTACCAAGTGGAAAAATGGAAGGGATCTTCTGCCCACGATGTGAAATTCGATCGAAACGAGGGCTCTAATTAAGTAAGTTAAATTTCTCAATATTTTTACAAATGGTAGTAAATTACTAAATTATTCAGTTCAAGAAGTGTGTAAAGTGGAAAATGGGGTCCACAATTAGTATAGATTTGTATGTAATAACAAAATAATTACAGTTTGTGTCTATTACAGTTGTTGCTCTACATTCTAGAAAGACCAGAAAGATGTTAGTGGGGGGGGGGAGGGAGGGGGGAGAGTTGACATTTTACAGAGGTTTGCTTCTCTGGAGGCAAACTAGCCCCAATACAAAACTTCACAGCTTGCTTTACTGAGGCAAATTTCATCTCTGTTTACATGGGATTATATCC